GTCACCTCCAGCTTCTAATACGAGGACATGAGAGAAGCCTCCCACAGGATGGTAAAACATCCAGGTGTCCCCTGGACAGCGTCCTTACAGATGGCTAATTCTCTCACACCAGAAGCGATTTGCAGTTTCTCAAATTGCTCCTGACATGGAAAAAAAAGTCGCACCTTTATTAAATTCCAACTGAACCAATCATGCGAATTAGCCAGGCAGATATGATATATACACAAATCGCAGAGGAAAAGTGGCAAATAGTTTGCTTGCTTTCGTGATACATTAACAATTCACTTTCTGAATATAGTTTTGTTGTATTTAAAGAACAAGAGACTTAAAAGTGAATAGACTCCCGTTTCCCCCCACCACTCTCGTAGATGTGCATAATTCAAAGCATTCAGCTATACTCCAAATCCCTGGAATAAAATGGACAACTGAAGTTATTATCCTAAAAACTATTATCTTAAACCTCCCAAGAATGTATTCTGTAGTGTTACATGTTTTTTTTTCTGTGTCAGGAGTGACTTGGGAAACTGCAAGTCGCTTCTGGTGTGAGGGAATTGGTCATCTGCAATGACGTTGCCCAGGGGATGCCTGGAAGTTTTGCTGTTTTGCCATCCTTGTGGGAGGCTTTTCTCATGTCACTGCATGGGGAGCTGGAACTGACAGAGGGAGCTCTCCCTGGATTCGAACCTCCGACCTATCAGTCTTCAGTCCTGCTGCCACAAGGGTTTAACCCACTGCGCCACTGGGGACTCCATTATGTAGTGTAACATATTTATAGTAAAGGTCAAGGTTTTCCCCTGACATTAAGTCCAGTCTTGTCCGACCCTGGAGGGTTGGGGCTCATCTCCATTTCTAAGCTGAAAAGCCAGCATTGTCCGTAGACACCTTCAAGGTCATGTGGCTGGCATGACTGCATGGAGTGCTGTTACCTTCCCGCCAGCGTGGTACCTATTGATCTACTCACATTTGCATATTTTCAAACTGCTAGGTTAACAGAAGCTGGGGCTAATAGCGGGCGCTCACCCCACTCCCCTGATTTGAACTTGCAACCTTTCGGTCAACAAGCTCAGCAGCTCAGCGGTTTAACATACTGTGCCATTGGGGGCTCCTTATTTATATTTATACCTTTCATATAGATCTGCACAGGCATGGTTATACTCCTTTTATAATGCACTCCCACACTGCTAGTCTACAATTAGGATAATCAAGTGGGCCTTTCCACCAAGATCATTTCCCTCCTTTTTTAAAAAGTGGAGTAAAAGTCTGCCTTTTAAAGCTTGCTCTGACCACCTTCTTTCTGATTTTTTAAGGTGAAGTTTTGTATGAAGATGAATGCCAGGTTCAATCACTGAACCATGTCTTGCTACTCAGGGCAGCCGGCAATCATCATTCTAGGAGAGTCTGTTTTCTCATTCAGCTGTGCCTTAATATACTTGCAACAAAATACCAAACCTCTGCAGTACAACCCTCAAATCCATGGGGGATAAGCGCCTGAACTTACCGTAGAAAGGGAAAAGCATGCATAATAGTGGGCTATATTGAAATGAATGACCTCTGCTAGAAGTGAAACCACAGCCACACTGGAGAACCAAAAATTCAAAGGTTTTTTTTCTCTTAAAAAATTGCCAGATCTGCCAACATGACTTTATGGTAACTTCCTGCAAGAATTGCTTGGAGGAACTAGAACAGGCATCCCTCAAACTGCATCTCTCCAGTTGTTTGGGCCTCTCAACTCCCAGAAGCCCTAGCCAGCTTGTCCAATGGTCAGGAATTCTGGGAGTTGGAGACCCAAATAGCTGGATGGCTGCAGTTCAAGGATGCCTGAACTAGAACAAGTAGAAGAGGAGATACGCAGAATGGAATAATCAGAGTATGTTGTATCCACAAATATAGGAGTATTATCCATAATTTACATTAGAATTGCAAATAGTTCAGCAAGGCCTGCTTGTTGGTTTTAAAAGAATGGAGTTGTGCATATTGAGAATGATCATGCAAGGACCTTTGTTTGGCTTATCTCTGATGGTAGATATTAGGGGTGTGGGATTTTTTTTAAATAATATTCATAAGTTTGATCAAATTTGTTAAATTTGTACTTACAACATGATATTGGATAAGTGGGCGTGGCCCAGTCCAAAAACTTAAGAATCAAAGCTTACCCAATACTTTTCCGTTTGAATCTGTAAACTTCAGAAGTCAGTTTTATTTTCAGCCCAAGTAAGCAAAGCAATGCCCAAAAGGTTGCCATTCCTCTTCAAATTAATGGTCTCCCACCATTTGGAGAGGGAAGCAGCAGGGAGAAAGTAGAGTTCGCTGGGAAAGAGACTGAGAAAGCACAGAATTCTGGGAAAGGTAGTTTGGGAAGGCAAAGAGCCCTATGCCAGATAATTTAAAAGGCCCTGCCCTAAACTATGTTTTCCAGAATTCAGCTCAGCATCAGAAAAACCCAATCAGGATAGTGGAGAGGTTTGTCCCTCCATAGCAGCAGCCAGCCAGTTCCAATAAATTGTTGAATCTGCAAAGAGGAGGACTGATTGATACTTCTAGTGAGTAAATCTCTGTGCTGGGCTGGGAAGAAATCCCTAAATGGAAGTTCTGTTGGTTACTATTCGAGACATTCAATGAGATACCTGTTGTGGCTTTAAAAAAAACAGTTTTTGTCAAAACTTAATTACTGTAAGAAAAAGTGACAAAATTTCATTACTCTCGTTATAGTAATAAAATTTTTCACTAATGACACTTTTGAAACAAAATGTGATGTTCCCTAACTTTGTGATGAGTTTTGAAACATTTTTTCTTCCGTCACACAGACTTAGTTGATATCATGAAAATTATACATAATTCGTGTTTGTGTATTTTTCAACTCTACATATCAACCCCATGTTCAGAAGAAAAGACCAGTTCATTGACCTATCTACTCTCTGATGACACATCAAATGTCACATCAAGGGAATTAATGCTCTCCAAAATAGTGTAAATGAAACAGATCTACTTTCTATTGTTGTGTTAAATATAGGGAATAACAAAATCATTTTTTTCCGGCTGAATACCTGAAAGTCTTCCTCCAAACTCTGGGCCCTTCCACAGAGCCCAGAATATCAAGGCAGAAAATCCCACATTATCTGAGTATAGACTCAGAAAACCCAGTTCAAAGTAGATATTGTGGGATTTTCTGCCTTGATATTCTGGGATATAGGGCTGTGTTGAAAGGCCCTCTAGAAAATGTAATTTTCTGTGTCCAGGCAATTTTATTGCAATTCAGAATCATAGGATCCTGGAGTTGGAAGCGACTACATGGGCCATCCAGCCTCCAAAGTACGACTCCAAGGCAGAAGAGTTCCACTACTGAACAGCTCTCGGGGTCAGAAGTTCTTCCTCATGTTCAGGTGAAATCTCCTTTTCTGTAACTTGAACCAATTGCTCCAAGTTTTAGTCTAAAGGGCAGCAGAAAATTATTTGCCGTAAAGCGAGAACTGACATGCCCTTACATTTTGAGCCTCCCTTATGTGAAAACCTGAACTCTCTCAAAACAAAACTGTCTTCCACCAGCTGCTCGCTTTTACCTTTAAAGCAGAAGTGCTGGTGGTGCTACACAAAGCAGAAGTTCATGGCTGGTGTAGAGAGATGCAAGATTGGAGAGAGAGAAGCAACGGACTGTGAAAAAGCAAAAGGTGTGGATTCCTGCCATTTCATAGACCATTAGCTTCTCTCTAGCTTCACGTCTTAATTGATTTGTTGCTTGTGCTGTGTATGAGATGCAAGACTGGAGAGAAATGAGGTCATGTGAAATGATGGGAATCTAGCCAGTTTTTGTCATTAATCCACACCTTTCTAACTTCGGAAGAACAGGTGTGCGCTACTTGCAATCCAAAATGAAAGAAGGATGACATATGAAATAGTGTTCCCTCACTTATCGCGGGTGTCCCGTTCCAGGACCACCCGCGATAAGTGAAATTCCACAAAGTAGGAACACTCTGAGTGGGCAGAGCCTTCTTCTCCGTGCTGCCTCTGCTGCTCCTGGCCATGGAGGCCCCTTGGGCGGCGTTGATGGCACTGCCAGGCTGGTCTGAGGCCTCTGCCCAGCCCGACAGTGCTGTCAACGGAGCCCAAGGGGCTTCCCAGGCTGGGAGCAGCAGAGGCGGCGAGGAGGAGGCCGCCGCCAAGTGAGTGGAGCCTCCTTCTTTGTGCCGCCTCTGCTGTTCCCAGCCTCAGAGACCCCTTGGTGTCGTTGATGGCACTGCCAGGCTGGGCTGAGGCAGTGGAGGAGGCTGCTGCTGATGAGCCTGGAGACAAGCCACTGTGCAAGGCCCAGCACCTGGGGGGGGGGGGGGGCACACCCATGAAACAGCGAGTCTGCAATAAGTGAACCATGAAATAGCGAGGGAACACTGTACTTATCCAAAGCATTTTGGCAAAGAGAAGCTTAACTTGTATAATAATGTCACACCCTGGGACAGTTTTTAAAAACCCATAGAAAGACCTATAATGACAAATGGTCTTTAAAAAAAATCTGCCTATGTTCTGGAAATGAAGCCAATATCTCTATTATAGTTTTATAATTTATGCGATTTGGGGGAGTTTATGCCAAAAACATTAAGTTTAAAATAAGCTTCATGGAGGGACAATTTCTGTTCCAGATAATTAAGAATTAGGAATATTGTAGTGTGTTTACTTATCCGACTTCCAAATAATTGTTCTGCCTCGCTGCATTTAAGCAGTTTGTTTTTACTGTACCACTGGACATTATTGTTGGGTTTCTGGGCTGTTGGACAGGCAAATCAATGTCTCTGAATCTTAATACTGGAGTTGAAAGGCAATTCTTCAGATCTAGATCACACTGAACGACAGGACATCCTTGGTCTTAAAAAGCATTCTGATTTCAGCATAGATGTAATGTACAATTCTTCCCTTTTTGAGAGTTCAATATAGGTTGTTTCATTAAGATGCAGAATTTGAGGAGAAACAATTTTAGGAGAAACAAATAAGAGCAATGTCATGCTTACTCATTACAGTTAGAGGCAAACACATTTAATATTGTAAAAATCTAAGACACAGCCATTTTAATTCATGTTGGGTCTTAAGAAAACAATTCAAGCCCCATTAAAGCCAACAGAAACTGGATATGAAAAATACAGAAACCCAAAATCTGCCTCTAATTTTTACCCAAGTGAAACCTTGATCTCTTGTTGTATTACAAAATATTGACTATGAAACAGAAACCATTCCCTGACTTGGTACAGAATACGTAGTCCCTCAACATCAGGAAATAGTTTTCTAATATATTACCAAAGAGTGACCAGAATAGGTTTTGAGCAGGTGAAATACTATTAAGAGTGTGCACCTCTCACAAATATGCTACAGTGCAAATTGCATATTAGTGCAAATTCGATTTTTTTTCTCAGTTCATCAGAACTGCACGCTAACCGCAAAAGCTTTGGAAATACTCCTCCCAAGAAATTTACTCTTTACTAAGCTAATGATTGTATTGTGAAGTAGTATATTAAGTTCAAATATCAATAGACAAAGGCACATACTTTTATGTTTTGGCAAGAACACGTGGATGTTTCTTGTTACCATAATATATTGTTCACCGCAGTTCACATTCGTTGAATTCCATATGACTCAGAGTCATTTCAAAATGGTCCCCCCCCCCCCCCATCGCCCACTTTCCCCAAACACTTATTTTCCAGTTGGTACAGTCACAGAAACATATCCATCTGTATTCACAAGTGAGTTGCTGTACATGCTTTCCCTGTTGACACAGGGATAGCTTCCACGAAGGCAAAACATCCTGTGTGAAGTAGTCCCGAGGTAACAGGAAACTTTGGAATGTTTACTGCTGTTTTATGGCACTCACAATAGCTCAGCCCAAGCGCTCCAAAACATTTCTGGAAATCTAGCATAGGTAGGTTAGTCCCAATTTGCACACACTTCATATAATCACATCTGCACCAACACAGGGCACTTGATTGAAAAACAAAACAGTTCAAAAGGACTGGGTTATGGTAGGTTTGTCGGGCTATACGGCCATGTCCTAGAAGCATTCTCTCCTGACGTTTCGCCTGCATCTATGGCAAGCATCCTCAGAGGTTGTGAGGTCTCACAACTTCTGAGGATGCTTGCCATAGACCTCACAACCTCTGAGGATGCCTGCCATAGATGCAGGCAAAATGCCAGGAGAGAAGGCTTCTAAATCATGGCCAAATAGTCCGAAAAAACCTACAACAACCCAGTGATTCCAGCCATGGAAGCCTTCGACAATACAATTAAAAAGCAGTTTGTGTGTATAATGAGACATGAAGCAGTTAAACCAAGATCATAATGCAAAATAATACAAGCAATATTTCATTCATTTGCTAAATCCATTCCCTCACAAACAATTCGCTTTCCTCTTTTTCTATAGAGTTGTCACGCTCCAATAATCTCTTTACAAATTTGAGAAACATATCTAGATTAAAAGAGGAAAAATAACACATTAGGCTTTGGTTTTTAGTTTGTGATGCGACGGTGATATAAAATTTGCTGAAGTGAACTAAAGAAGAAAAACTGGTCAGAAATAAATACATAAGCATAAAATATGAGTAAATACATTCACTGGCCCACTTAAGCTATACATCTATGGACACATACTCTTTTTTAAACCATGGGCAGATAGAGATCCATTCATGGAAGAAAAATGCAGACAAACGTTTGCTTATCTGCTTTTTCCTCAAATTTCTGCAACATAATTACATAGACATATATATTCTCTGCACTGACCATTACTGATTTAGGTCACAAGTCTCACATAATCCAGTGTTGCATTAATAAGGCTTTATTTACATTTCTTTAATATAAATCCAGGAGAGTTCGACACAATGTGCAAGACAGGACTGTAGGCGCAGGATCTTCTTACGCTTTTATACTGACCCACAGACAGCCTAATAAAGTCCCATAGATCCACGTTTTCACGTAAAGTTTCCGTCCAGATTCTGTCAGTAGCATACTAACAGTCAGGCCGCTTAAGAACAAGAAGGATGGTAAAGTTTTCTTGAGACTGAGCTTGGAATAAACACATTTCCCAGGGAACTTGTTTCTCCTTTTAGGATCTTTCACATCATAGAAGTCTATTAGCAGCCTAGAAACAAAGAGAGGGTTAAAAAGTAGGGAAGAAAGAACAGCAGTTTAATGTCTTATCTCCTCTGCCATCACATGTTCTGGATACAACCTTTTATAAATCTATAATGACAAGGGATAATTTGCATGCTGACAAATGGCGCTGTACTACGACCCCTCTATCTCCAAGGATACACTTCAAGACCCCCTTTGGATACCTTTATCGTGTCAGAAGCGACTTCAGAAACTACAAGTTGCTTTTGGTATGAGAGAATTGGCCATCTGCAGAGACATTGCTCAGGGGACACCCAGAGGTTTTACCATCCTATGGGAGGCTTTTCTCATGTCCCCATATGGGAAGCTGGAGCTAACAGACAGGAGCTCACCCTGTCTTGTGGATTCGAACCGCCAACCCTAAGGTCAGCAGTTCAGCTGGCACAAGGCTTTAACCCATTGTACTATCACGGCTCTTCTTTGGATACCTGGAACCACAGAATAGAGTGAACTCCCTATTTTGACTACAGATGTCCCTTCACATTTGTGGTTTGGATTTTTGTGAATCTAAGTGTTCACAGATTTTATCTTTAGTTCCTCCAGTGTGTCTTTATGGTTGTCTTACTTATCCATGGACAGTGAGTCCATGGATAAGAAGTCATAATGTACATCAACTGGTTACATGTCTTCGCTTGAAGCAGGAAAAACCAATCGACTCGGGAAAACAACAAACAGCTTTGCTTTGTTCAGGGACACTATATACTGAGTAGAGCAGCCATCTGAAACCATCCCATCATTGTCAAACAGATCAGCTTTACTACCTATCAGCTTACCATAATTCTAAAAATATGAAGAAAAGAAAAGCCTGTATGTTTTTGGTGCTCAGGAAAACTGTACATACAAGTACTGACCTTATTAAAAGTAGGCTGAGGACTCTAAAAACCTTTCTGATAGGATAAAAATTTGAATATCTTATGTCTACATCCCACTTTTTTGGCATCAGAAAGTGTTTCATGATATGTATAAACTGCAGCCCTAAAGAATTTATCAATCGTTGGCATCAATCATCTAGCTGCCCCTTAACCTGAGTTGTAGGGGCAAGCTAGACTATTCCAGACGTAAACACATGACATTTCATTACTTACTTATCCTTGATTTCAAAACGTTCATGAAGCCATCTCCTCATATACATCTGTTCTTCTGGAATATCCTTTATTTCAATTCGATCAACATAAATATGGATTCTTGGGCACTCCTTGCAAAGGAAATCTAAAATTCAGAAGAGCATCATGAAAATGTTTGGTCCACGCAGTTAACTGTTCCAGAAGAGAAACCTTTGTCCCAATGGAGTGATTCTATTTGTATTTAGTAAAATTGTAGCCAATTCCAGATAGCCTGCACTATTAAAGCTATCTTTACAAAATCCAGTTGTTTGTAAACAGAATTAGGATTGGAGCCTTGACTAATATGATCCATAATAAATAGGGGGTATTTTTCATCCATGTTCAGAGATGCTTTGGGTCTCCATTCTAAGAAATAAGCAGGGTAAAAATAAATGTAAATGTAAACCTCTTTCTATCAATTTTCAATATATAATTGATAATTTTATCTGCAGATGATAATAATTATTATTACTGCAGGTGCTCACAAGATGGCTCTGCTTAATTAAGGCATACAGGATGATTTGGACTGAGTAGAGACAGAGGTATAATCCCCTAATTCAAAATATAAAGACTGTTCTTTTTTTTAAAAAAAAAAAATCAGTTATCACAACAAATACATGTTTCACTGAAATAATTAAAGGTAAATATGCCTCCCACCCAGATTATCTGAATGTCCCAGATAGTTACAATCAATTCAAAGTATTGTGCTTGGGACCACCAAATGCAGCGTTGCCCAAACACGAATCAAGGAACATGAAAGGCACTGCAGACTATTTCAACCAGAGAAGTCAGCCATATGAACCAACCTGGACATAGCATATGATTTGAGAACACAGAAATGCTGGACCACTCTAACTACCACCATGTCAGGCTACACTGCGAAGCCACTGAAATCCACAAGCATGTGGACAATTTTAACAGAAAAGAAGAAACCATGAAAATGAACAAAATCTGGCTACCAGTATTAAATAAACTCTAAAATCAGGACAGTAAATAGAGAGCAACACTCAAAAAGCAGGGGAATTCCAGGCAAGACTCAATCAGTGCTAACTAACACCTCCCAACAAAGGATTCACCCATGCAGTAACCAGCCAGTCTATGAAGCTGCAAGGAAATTTAATGCTAATCAAGGTTGCCAATTGTAACATTTACACTTGCGTCGGACAAAAGTTCTTTCTCCCACCCTGGACATTCCACAGATATATAAACCCCACTTGCCTAGTTTACAAAAGACCTCACAACCTCTAAGGATGCCTGTTACAGATGTGGGCAAAATGTCAGGAGAAAATGCTTCTGGCACATGGCCATACAGTCTGGAAATCTCACAGCAACCTTACTGTGCCTTCTGAACTATAGCTCTTACAAAATTGCTATCCTAAGTTGCAATTCCAATTATGTCTTCAAGTTACACCATGAAATGAAAAGGAAGATATACTATTCAATTAAAGCAGCAATGCTCCCTGGCATCTCTGCAATTTTTATATCCAAATGCCATGGAAGTGTGGGAGAAACCTCTGCTCTCTTCTGTATGCTCCGTCCCTCTTAGCCTGAACACTACCTCAAATAAATCCAGCTTTTCAATGGAGAGAATGGTCAACGGGATACAATCGGAGTTTCAAGGAACTATGCTAATTATGTAGTTCATCTTAGCGAGACCAATTCATTTTGAAAAGACACAATGTCACTGTAACCACTTCTGCTTACTAGTGGATAAGGACAATTTACAGCATTCCTGTTTTCGTGAAAGAACAGCTGGATTCTATCAAAAGAGCCACTAAAGGTTGCATAGTCCCATGACCCCCAATTTCACATCAGCTCAACTCCCCAAAGGCTTATGTAATTAGGCTGGAAAAGCTGAAGCTCACTGCAGCAATTCATTAAGTACAAATTACATCCAACTTCAGGAATATTGGCTTGAAATGCCTAGATTTGATGGGTGGCTTAGTTCTCTCAAACTTGCCAGAAGGCTATTCTTGGAAGCGGGACTGAAACAAAAATTGCCTTTGCAAGAAGCAACGTAATTGGGAACCATACATTACCAAAAGCTTTTCAGCAGAGACAACTTTCTCAGTGTGAATCAGAAATTATTTAAAATTAAGGGGACTGTCATGGGAACAAAACCACAATGGACACAATAAGATACAATTCTAACACAAATTTCAGTCTCAAAAAAATGAACTCCAGAAAGCACCTGTGTTTGCTTGCAGGAGAACCAGAAGAATGATAAATAGTTGGAAGAATGAAGACAATTCAAGAGAGATTAAAAGGATGTCAAAATATTAGCACACCAATTTCTCAAAATTTTTGTACTGATAAGAGTGGAATTAAAGTTTGGCGCAAGTCTGCCCATGCAAAGCTGCTGAACATAGCACTGAACGAAACATGCAGAATAATCACAAGATGTCTTAAACCTACACCTGATAAACTCTACAAGCTAGCCGGCATTGCCCCCCCCCCCCCAACAATATGCGACGGTAAGTTGCTGCTAACTGTGAGAGAAATAAGGTTGAACACTGGGAAAACCATCCACTGCATGGCTATCAGCCTCCTCCCAGTAGACTCAAATCAAAGAACCACCACCCCTCTTAATGTTTCCCCAACAACAGGAAGAGTATCCCTTCTGAGCAGCCAAACCAGGAAACCCCAACTGGATGGCCCCCCACGAGGGTTTGCCTCCAGGGTCAAACCAAGAATGGGCAACTTGGAGGTCCCTGAACAGACTCAGAAGTGGAGTGGGCAGGCCAAAAGACAACCTGGCAAAATGGCACTACCTAGAAGAATCTTCCACCTTGTGTGACTGTGGAGCAAAGTAGACAACTCCACATCTGCATGCTTGTCCACAATGTCCTGCCTCATGCACAGAGGAAAAAGTGTTTAAAGCTATAGGCAATGTGGTCACTGTTGCTCGTTTTTGGTCAAAAAAATATTTAACCGCTTGTGTTCCCTCTATTTTTATCAGTTTTATTTATTTATGCAATGCTTTTGGCATGGAATTAATAAAAAGGGCAATAAACAGAATGCAGGATGAGTTTACACATCACAATATGCCAAGGTAATGTAAACATGAACATTTCATCCATGCTTTCATTATTATGCTCCCTGAACGTGACGTTTTGGTATATGAAGTGAGAAAAAGTCATGCTGCAATTTCAGCTGTTACAATAAGCAAGCTTGTTTCAATGGCAGCAAGCAAACAATGGGCACCGGCATGCTTTCTTGTTCACACTAAAGCTTACAGTGATGCTTAAATGGGTCTACAGCGTAATTCTTGGAAGAGTGGAGTGGGAAATCATTCATTGCTAAAAATTATGAAAGTATTAGATACAATACAACAAGAAAGAAGAAACTGAATGTCTAGCTCTCAAAAGGCATGTGCTTTGTTATGCATGGATTGCATTCAGGTATAAACTCAAAAATATAAAAAAGCTTAAATTCATCAGCTTGGATTCAGACTTGCTATTCTAGAAAACATTATTATATTGGGTTGCTGTGAGTTTTTCAGGCTGTATGGCCATATTCTGGAACATGGCCATGCAGTCTGGAAAACTCACAGCAAGTATCCTCACAACCTCTGAGGATGCTTGCCATAGATGCAGGCAAAACATCAGGAGAGAATGCCTCTAGAACATGGCCATATAGCCCCAAAAACGTACAATAACCCAACTTATTTTTCCTTAGTCTAATTTCCATTTTCATGCTGGGGATTTCCCCTGCTGCCACCACTTTGATTTTATTGCTTCGAATGAGCAGCATTTGGCATACGCCGCTGCGATATTAGTATTTCCAGCATGCCAGGGCATCCTTGGTGGATTTTACACTTCACATACCCACAAACTGTGACATAATTATATTAAATTCACTACAGTTATGTGATTGTTCATGTTGTGCCCAGAGTAAAATTAAGTGTGACATTACAAATCTTCAACAAAAGGATGAGATGCTCTCTGGAGATAAACATACACTAAACAGACAGCTAAAACAAAATGGGCGAAAATTCAATTGGGAACTGATAAGATTTTTTAGAGAAGCCCCCTGTCCGCAAACTCTTAATGTTAATGTAAGGGTCACTTTCTCTTTTTTGCATTGCCCTGGTAATTTAAACATATTTGAAGCCCCAATTATAAGATGAATGCTGGACACAAGAATGTCTGATTTGTACAGAAGAGACACAGAAGAATGCTATCAAAGGGAGTCATTTACAAAGCTGAATGTTTGGAATGCAAGCAGTTCCCTGTTGGAGAGACAGGAAGCCTCCTCTTAGGATGATTCAAAGACTATCTAGCTGAGAGTCAGCACAATAAAACTCAGGCCAGTCCATTCATAGGAAGGGAAAGTATGCTGGCAAAGCTGTGTCAGGAAAACTTTTGGTAGCAATCCAAAAAAGTGCAATCATCAGAAACTTGACATCCCTATACATGAAGAGTTAAAATAAGCTATGCTGTTTTATCAGATGGGTTTAGTTGGTTGCCATGTACAAATATTGCCTATTAAAATATTTCCCTTCCTGAGGGTTGCTGTGAGTTTTCTGGCCTGTATGGCCATGCTCCAGAAGTATTCTCTCCTGACGTTTCACCCACTTCTATGGCAGGCATCCTTAAGAGGTTGTGAGGTTTGTTGGAAACTAGGCAAGTAAGGTTTATATATCTGTGTCCAGGGTGGGAGAAAGAACTCTTGTCTGCTTGAGGCAAGTGTGAATGTTGCAATTGGCCACCTTGCTTAGCACTGAATCGCCTTGCAGCTTCAAAGCCTGGCTGCATCCTGCTTGGGTGCATCCTTTGTTGGGAAGTGCAAGCTGGCCCTGATTGTTTCCTGCCTGGAATTCCTCTGTTTTCTGAGTATTCCTCTTTATTGACTGTTTTAATTTTAGAGTTTTTTTTAAATACTGGTAGCCCATGTTTTGTTCATTTTCATGGCTTCCTCCTTGAAAGGCCATTCAATACTAATCAAGGTGGCCAAGTGCAATATTCACATTTGCCTCAGGCAGACAAGAGTTCTTTCTCTCACCCAGGAAACTCCACAGATATATAAACCTCACCTGCCTAGTTTCCAATAGATCCCTCAACCTCCAAGGATGCCTGCTACAGATGTGAGTGAAACACCAGGAGAAAATACTTCTGGAACATGGCCATACAGCCAGGAAAACTCACAGCAATCCAGTGATTCCAGCCATGAAAACCTTCGACAATCCCTTCCAGTGGTTTATAAGACATCATCTGAACACAGTCTATCATTTCACATCCACCTCTCTCCAAAACTGTACAACTGATTGTCTACACTAGGTATTGGATCAAGTGATATGAGAAATAAAACTTGCTAGCCTTTAAGTTACCACATACTATAGTTCTCTTTTTTGCATGTGTGTGTAACGGAGCTCCCACCTGTAAATATCATAGCTGCACTTGTGACTGAAACTGGCATTTCATATTTACTGTTTCAGATTTCATACTGGTGCATAATAACTTTAAGCAATGCATATAAGGTTTGATGTAAAACATCAACTTCTAAATTTAACACAAGTATTGATGGCCTCGTCTTCTAGTTTAGAGTATTCTAAGTATGTTCACTGCTCTGCCGACATTATCAAAGAAGCAACAAACTTGCTGGTTTTCTCATCTGAATAGGATTGTAATAATAAAAGCAGTTATATTGAGTCTGGCAGTTTGACTTGGCAGATCACAAACTGGCAGAGCAAGACTGCTCGAGTACCAAAACAAGGTAATTAAAAATCCATTCTAGGTTCTAATTTTTTATCACACAGTTGGGTAAGAGTAACAGGAATTCCTCACCTGTCATGGATGGTGCCTCTTTCCTTTTCCCATTATGGTCCACGGTGCCTTCATATGCTACTGTAACATCATAAACTGCATCCAAATAATCCTTCATCAAATTTAGAGCAACATGGGTAGCCTTCACTCGCGGTGTCAGAACATGTTGCAAGACTGCAAGACCTAAGCAAGAGGAAAAGTATTAAATGTTGCACCTTTAACAAGAGTTAACCAAGTTAATTACCTCTTTGGGGTTTCTACAACTTTCTAAAAAAGGTAAAACTAATTTATTTGAACATAGGAGCCCCTGGTGGTGTAATGGGTTAAACCTTTGTGCCAGCAGCACTGAAGACCGACAGATCGCAGGTTCAAATCCAGGGAGAGCGCAGATGAGCTCCCTTTGTCAGCTCCAGCTCCCCATGCGGGGACATGAAAGAAGCTTCCCCCAAGGATGGTAAAACATCAAAACATCCGGGCGTCCCCTTGGCAACGTCCTTGCAGACGGCCAATTCTCTCACACCAGAAGCGACTTGTAGTTTCTCAAGTCACTCCTGACACACAAAACAATGTACTACAATTGGCAAGTTTTATCTACACAACATCTAAAATTGTTTCCAGATGTTATCAGTACAGAAACTCCTTTAAAATGCAATGTTCCCTGCCTACGAAAGTTGGAATCGGGTACAGCCTGGATCTCAACTGAGTACATTTAGTGCTGCTTTGTCTCGAGCCCCCATATGACCAAGAAGACTTTGCCTGCATTTGATATCCCATCTTAACTTACAACGGAAGTAACAACTGACTACTTCATCGCACTAGAGAATGAATCCACTTTAAACCCGGTTTCTGCCTCCTACAGAATTCTGGGGTTTGTAGTTTAGTGAGGCTGTTAAAGCCTCCTCCCCAAACTACAAACCCCAGAATTCTCCGGGAGGCAGAAATCGGATTTAAAGTGGATTCATTCTCTAGTGTGATGAAGACTGAAGACAAGTTGTAGTAGGCTTGTGACTCTAACACTGTCAGTTTTCTTCTCTTCTATGATTTTTAACATCTTTACCAGCAGCCCCTGATGGCACAATGGGTTAAACCATTGTTCTGGCAGGACTGCTGACCAAAAGGTCAGTGGTTCAAATCCGGGGAGAGGGATGAGCTCCTGCCTGTCAGCTCCAGCTTCTCATGTGGGAACATGAGAGAAGCTTCCCACAGGATGGTAAAACATCTGGGTGTCCCCTAGGCAACATCTTTACAGATGGCCAATTCTCTCACTCCAGAAGCAACTTGTAGTTTCTCAAGTCGCTCCTGACAGACACACACACACACACACACACACACAACTTTCCTAGGACCCATTTCCCACAAATGCTGGCTGCTTCTACAAGCATTTCACTTTGTTATAACCATGGGGGAACTTGTATTCGGTCGGCCAAACCCAGTCCAACTATATTTGCTTTTTCAACATGGGAATGGCTATGCAAATATTTTGAAATAAAACACAGTTCTTCATTATGTGCATTTTCATCAAAGCGTGGCTGTTATATTTTCAAGTTGTTGTTCCAGTCTCTGTTATGACACCAACTGTTTTTACTAATAAGCATTCCGTTAAATACACATGTACTATCGCTCCAGCTTCCTACCAAGTATCACATAAAATAAGTCAAACACATGCAAGGGGTAAGGAGAGAAATGATTTCATCAGGCAAGGAAAATATAGATCACTTTAAAACATTAGTTTGCGACTTTGTATGTATCTAAAATTCCTTGGGTCCTTTCAAGAATGAGCAGGAGACATCAAATACTGTTTGATATACACTTTCATTTGGCTGCTAACACAAATTGACTACTGTGAATAAATCATTGTAATTATTTTAGAGATTGAGGGCCAGATTACATGTTATGCCAAGGATCTGGATTGTTCTTGGTCAATTATAGAACATAGTTACTAGGAGGAGCCCCTGGTGGCACAGCAGGTTAAACTGCTGAGCTACTGAACTTGCTGACCAAAAGGTTAGTGGTTCGAATCTGGAGAGCGGGGTGAGCTCCTGATGTTAGCCCTGATGATAACCTAACAGTTCAAAAACATGCAAATGTGAGTAGGTCAGTAGGTATCGCTTCTGTGGGAAGGTAACAGCGCTCCATGCAGTCATGCTGGCCACATGACCTGGGAGACATCTATGGACAACACCAGCTCTTCAGCTTAGAAATGGAAATGGGAACCATCCGCCTGAGTTGGACATTACTAGACTTAATGTCAAGTGAAAACCTTCAAATTTATTTTAGTTACTAGGCTCACAGCATGAAAGGAGAGAATCATTCCTTACCTTTCCAACCACAATCTGCCATGAGTACCCTGTTTTTAAAGTCACAAAAAGACTATTAAAAAACCTAAGCCTGCCTCTCATGTTTCTTTCATTGTTTCCCAAAAGCCTTTTGACATTAATCTTACCTTCCTTATCAGCATAGGCTTGACTATCTGCTATGACTTTTGGGAATTCTGGATTGTAACGTGTTCCCTCTGGAAAAATCACAAGGTACATCTGCAACATTAAACAAAATGTGTGCATAGTTTTTAAAAACATTGCAACATTCTTTTATAATCTGAAGATTGCGGTACACACTATCATGTGCATTCTGAACACGGAGAAGAGAGCAGAACATAAGTTGTTACTATTACTGTATTTTACAGTTAGGAGGAACAACACTAACATTCATGGAATTGCTATTTTTTTGGAGCAAACTAACTAGGGAAAGAAAACACCAGAAATGTAGTTAAAATGAGAATAAAAGTCTTGCTCAAAATTTTAACTACTCAACTATTTGGGCAGCTAAAGTAGAAGAAAGCATGGCTAATTCAGTATTGTGGACTAATATTTGTTCTTTTTTTAAACATCCTATCCGGATTCCTATTAGTTTCAACTAAATTTTGTAAATTACAGGGTAATGTTATAAAGGTCTACCCAGAATGAATAAGGCTAACAATTAAGTAAGCAACCACTGGATTGTAGCCATAAAAATGCCAAGAAAGCTAACAAGGGTTGCTGTGAGTTTTCCGGACTGTATGGCTATGTTCCAGAAGCATTCTCTCCTGACATTTCACCCACATCTATGGCAGGCATCCTCACAGATTGTGAGGTTTGTTGGAAACTAGGCAAGTGAGATTTAGATATTTGTGGATTGTCCAGGGTGAGAGAAAGAACTCTGGTCTGTTAAGAGGCAAGTGTGAATGTTGCAATTGGCCACCTTGATTAGCATTTAATGGCCTTGCAGCTTCAAGGGCTGGCCAATTCCTGCCTGGGGCAATCCTTTTTGGGAGGCGTTAACATGACTTCTTTAATGTAAGTTTAAAGAAAAACTGCACAATGTATTATGCATTATTATAGCTGGGGTTACAAAAATATTTGCAAGGAAAGAAAATGTGCAGCTGTCTCAATGAATGGGAAACATATGTTTTTTAAAAAATGAACAGGCCAGGAAGGTTTGAAATAAATAAGTTGTGAGAATGAGGCTCCCCAGTACCTGGATGAGATTACTGCGATCAATAGCCCCATTCTTCTCCAGCCCAGCCTGATAACACACAAGATTGCTGCGTGAATGTATCTGTTCTTGCACAAAAGGGAATTTTTAAAGGCTACAGAGCTCAACAGCAGTTGTTGTAACAAAGGAAATTCAGTTCTTTTACCTAGTCATAAGCAGTGAATTATTTCAGCAATAAGGACAGTTCCTAGCTAGGAACAAAAACAACATAGAGAGAAATAAAGGATCATTTTCTTTCCCTATTGTCCTTGACAGCAAAAATTCCCAGACACTACTTCAATTGTGAGGCAGTCATTAATGGAACAGGCAACCGTAACCTTGGATTATCTTGAATGCCACCAAAATGACTTGGTTTTGTTACGTAGGAGTATTTTTACATTGCCCTCCAGCAAAATCCCCAGTGCAGTTTATAAACATAGTGAACTCGTCCAATATGAAATGGCCAGAAGTAAAGTCATAGCCAGAAATCAAAGCAGATTGCATTTACACTGTGAGGGAGAGACTAATATTGTGCACATAAAACATGCAAATGTGAGTAGATCAATAGGTACCGCTCTGGCGGGAAGGTAATGGTGCTCCTTGTAGTCATGCCAGCCACATGACTGTGGAGGTGTCTATGGACAACGCCAGCTCTTCAGCTTAGAAATGGAGATGCGCACCAACCCCCGGAGTCAGACACAACTGGACTTAATGTCAGAGGAACACCTTTACCTTTACCTTACTTTAGGCCTTTAATGGGTTCAGTCCAGAATACAAACTATAACCCAGCACCTCAATGTACTACTATCAGGTGGGAATCACCATAATATTTCATCTCAACTGATTCCATTAAAATGTTAATTGTTTCATAAAAGAATAGGTCTTCAAGAAAGAAACGTACCTCTGTTTTAGGGAGGCAAAGTCTCTTCCCCAGATATACCAGATGGACCTAATGGCCTTTCATTGGAGGAACTTTTATCAGATATAAGTCCTGGCAAATTAAGTATTAGAACTTTATGACAGAAAGTGTTACTGCCTCACAAAACTACAAAAATCCCCTTGGATAGTTCAGGGCAGCGGTAGCACAGCAGGTTAAAATACTAGTTGCAGGAAATCTGCTGACCGGAGGGTTAGCAGTTCGAAGCCGCAAGTCGGGGTGAGATCCAGCTGTTAGCCCTAGCTTTTGCCAACTTAGTAGTTTGAAAGCATGCCACCTGAAATTAGTAGGCACCGCCTCATTGGGAAGGTAAAAGGGTGCAGACATGCTGGCAAAACATAACTGGATATGTTTACAGACAACAGACTCCTTCAGAAAAGGACTGCAACTCACCACCATGTTGGGAAAAGGTGGGCAAATAGAGACTAATCTGTTTTGCTGCTTGCTCTAAGGAAAAGGCATCCCCTTGCAAATCCTGAGGCAGATTTAGCCTATTTGATTTCAGCCTCTTACTACTGTCAAGCTGTGCAGACCTAATGTAGACAGTGTCCTTTGTATTTTTGTGGGGTTTTCCCCTGAAGAGCTCAGGGTTTTTTTTTAAAAACCGCTGGAAGAGGAAACTGAAAAGTCCTTGTGCATTCTTTTTATCATGTTTACCATAACAAATGTTCTGGTTTGATGTTTTGACCAGAAAACAACCTGGAGAATGCGGACGCTAACGTTAAGGTTCCACAAAATGCTACCCAGTTTCAACTGATAAACAAGAATTGCACTGCAAGGACCTAGAGATTCCCAGAGAGAATCTGCAAAAATCAAACATGCAAACATGTTGATTGTTCGATTAGCAATAAGACAAAATGACTCCAGTTCAACTAGCGTTGATGTTCATGAAGTGATGGGGCTTCTGCCTCCTGATAAAGACTGTTCTGTGTGTGTAGAATGTTTCTCCATTGAACACAGAGTAACAACTGTTCAGAGTAGGGTCCCTGGAAGGAGAAAGTAAACCAAGCATCCTCTTCCAGCCACTCTTTGTAGAATGTATGTAGGAAGATGAATCATACAAATGGGCCAAGAGTTGTGAAAAAAAAAGTCCATCTGTGTTTCTGCCATGTTTATATTAACACAGAGATACACATATGAAAAACATACATTCTTACCGGAGTATTAACTTTCATCTGGGCTTCTAACTTGTTTCTCATTGTCTTCTCATTAAATTTGGCACTTCGTTTCACATAGACTCCGCCATGCTAGCATGTAAAAAAGACAATATATATATAAAATAATTCAGAATGTACAGTGTACTTTAATATTTTAGATTCAAAGAATTTAAAAATAACTACGACTTTTTTCACTGACCTTTCAACCAGTTGAAACATTTACACTTGCAGGTCTGTAACTGTAATGTGTTAAAGAGGAGTTGGTTGGCTTTTAATATCCTTTTGAAATATGCAAACAACTAAATGGGTTACTTTGTTGCTTGCCTTTCATCTCAAAGAGAAAATTCTGTATTTAGGAAACTTCATTAAGTGTGTTTGGCTAGATTTCATACCAAATCATCTGTCTTTAGGTTAAAGAATGTAACATTTACAACAAAAATTAAAAGTGTCCTCAAATCTAAGCATAGGAAACCTAGGTGTCGGCGCTAGCTGCACCCATACCTTGAAAAGCCTGATCTGGCCATGGTAGTACACACCATAGGCACATCCAGGTTAAGAGTACTGTAATACGATCTATGTGGGGTTGCCCAGAAGAGCGTTTGGAAACTTCAACTGGTTCAAAGGTCAGACCTCACAGCCTCTGAGGATGCTTGCCATAGATGTGGGCAAAACATCAGGAGATGATGCTTTTCGAACATGGCCATACAGCTCAGAAAACTCACAACAACCCAGTGTTTCCAGCCATAAAAGCCTTCAACAACACAAAGGTAAAACACTTATAAATGGACTATTGTTTGAGCCTACAATTCCACAGGTTTGGGGTACAGAGCTCTGACCCCCCCCCCCCCAATATGATATAACATAAACTGTATGAGAAATTCAATATTTTCAGCCTAAGAAAGGAGCATAAGACAAGGATATCAAGAGAAGTTACTTTTCTGTTGCTAATGGAGTTAAAATTTTATGACATGTCATTTATTGCTCTGTGCTTATTGTCCTCATGAGGCCAATAAGGCAAGTGACCTTTGCCTGCATATCCTTCAATGTCATCTTAACTGACAAAATCTCAGGCAGAATGTAGGTTTATGACTCTTAACGGACCTCATCACAGCAGAGAATGAATCCACTTTCAACCCAGTTTCTGTCTCCTGCAGAATTCTGGGCTTTGTAGTTTAGGCAGGAGCCTTTAACAGCCTCCCTAAACTACAAACCCCAGAATTCTGCAGGAGGCAGAAACCGGATTTAAAATGGATTCGTTCTCTAGTGTGATGAAATGCAACATCTTCGCCATTTTTTTCCTCTATGATTTTTAAAATATTTCCCCAATGAAGAAGCCATAAAGTTTTGAAAGCTTACATAATATATGCTATCCTTTGTAATTGGTCCACATTTGAGTCTCCTTTGTGGAGAGAAAAAGCAGGACATAATAATAATAATAATAATAATAATAATAATAATAATAATAATAATAATAATAATGGTTTTGGAGTTTTGCTGTATTTTGCTGCATGGCCAGCCCCTGAACATATGTGCAGGATGCTTCCCCATCATCTGCGCAGGATTGATGGTAGAAGAGTAGCTAGAAAACTGGGCAAAGTTTAATGCAAAGTTGGAATCAAATGGAGTGTCTGGAGAAGATTAAAAGGGCAGCAAGGACTATCTAATTATCAGCATAGCTCATTTCCCGGTAAGAAATTATTTTAAAATTTCCTCAGGGGGATTTACCCATAGAAATCAATGATGAAACACTGGATTTTATTTTGAACGGAAACATCACCCCTCCCATGACAAAACTTTGCAAAAACACCCCATAAGAGTCCCACTGGGCACTCAGAAAGTGATCTTAGCTGTGGGAGAATTTCAGGGGGGGGGGGAAGAAAACAAAGAGAGGAGAGAAGAAATGGTAAAAAGCAACTTGGACAGAGGCAGTCTGCCTTGAACTGTTTCGTAAGCACTGGTCATTTGTTCTTTCTAATCCCAACTGAATAAATCCTATGGTTTGAGAGTCAAAGCTGTAAAGTCCCTACAGAGATAGGCAGCAATGGTCTGGATGCGGGGATGAGTTGGAGGAAGGCTTATTATATAAAACTGAATCATGTGGAGATGTGCGTAAGGTATGGACTTTGGAAACTTTGGCCGTCCTATATGGTGTTGCATTTCCTCTGAAGGAACAGGTTTGCTATTGGTGGAATTCGAGACTCATCATTCTCAATGGAGTCTCAAGGATTCTTTAAGGCAAGGAAGCCCTAGCATCAGCTTCAGCTAGTTTACCAACAGTGTCCTCTCCAAGAATGGGATACTGACTTATATACTGGCATATCTGGATCAATATAGCACATTCTGCGTAGTACAAAAGCAGCAGCTGTTTTAGAATGCAGAAATCTTGAAGGATCAGTGAAGTATGTTATCAAAGACACAGTGAGACCTTGGTATCTGGTGTGGTTTTGGTTCCAGGACATTGTCTTTGTGAATATCATACTTTGTTTGAGATATACTTTGTTCTATCATTTTGAATATTGTATATTCAAAATGTATATTCAAAGCATATATTTTGAATACACCTTTTAGACATTATTTTATGATAAACAGCCTATAAATGATAGTAAATAGTCAATAAGGGAAGCAGATCAGAGCTGGCATTCTGTTGATATATGTGCGTGTAACTGGGGGTTGTCTGCAAGAGCATTTGCACACCCTGCAGAAGAAAGCACCTCCTCTGCCCTTATTCAAGCACTTGCTACTACTAATGGGCTACAGGAAGGGAAATCCAAGACAGTCCTGAAAAAAACTCAATTACAAAAATTGTTGCAAGACCAAGAGGGGGCACAGGACAAGCAACAGATGTGGGGCATAATGAAACAGAGTAATGACCGAGGGGCAATGAAAGGAGATACAGTACAGAAGGGTCTACCATAGCTTCGGGATGCTGTTTGTACCTTGGTCAGCCAGGTCCAAGGGAAGCACGTAAGTAAGGTATCTGTTCCTTAGCAACTGTTATTTGGAAACATGCTGCCTCTCACGTACAGCCATAGTAACTACTAGCCAATAATGGCTTTAACCTCTGTGAATATATCTAATTCCTTTTGAAGCCATCTAAGCTCACTACCTGCTTCATGCTGAGAAGCTATTTTTAAATTTATCAGAAAACCAATTGAGAACTTCTCACAGAAGTCAACAGACCCAAGATTTCAATGTGTATGGGACTGGACAATTATGTATATAATACATTTGCTCAAAAGAGAGGGAGTGCTCCCAAAAAAAGGACAAGGGGGATTGAGAATTTTCAGGGAAAACAAAGCATTGACTATACAAGGGATGGGGGAGAAAACATGGCTGGAAAGGAGTGAAACACATTAGCTAAAACTCTGAAAAGTATCAGTTTACATTGCAACAATTTTGTTGCATATGTCCACTTGCAATCAAATGGGATACAAATACGAACAAAATCTACCTTTCAGAGATTGTTTTGCTAATCCTACATAACCACATGATCAAAGAGAAAGAGGAATATTTCCTTCAGAATTCTAATTGGGTTTGCAGCATATAATTAATTTAAATTCAGACTGCCAATCTTTAATCCGTTTCACAATCCTACTCTGTTTCCCCAAAAATAAGACATACTCATAAAATAAGCCATAGCAGGATTTCTAAGTATTTGCACAATATAAGCCACACCCCAAAAATAAAACAAAGCAATAGGCATGGCTATGCAGCGTACAAGGTCGGCTCCCCAGTCAGGTCCTGGTCATTCTGTGCATGCTCCAAACTGAGGCATAGAGGGAGACGTAGAAACTGAAACTGACTCCTCAGTGAAGTGAGGAGCAGGACGCTCTGCTTGAGGCAGTGTGTGTCCTCAGGGGGAAGAAGTAAAGCTGTGGCTCCCATTTGACTCAGCACTGTGGGTCTCTCTCCTCCAACACTAACCAGCAACAGTCTGTGGGTCTCTCTCACCCCCCACAAATACCAGTAAAGCTGCTTCTGTGGATCTCTCCCCCCCACCCCAAACATCAGCCTCTGTTTAAAAGTCTCCAAAGAAGGAGCCTTCACCACATTCCAGGACAGAGAGTTCCACTACTGAACAGCCCTCACAGTTAGGAAGTTCTTCCTAATGTTCAGGTGAAATGTCCTTTCCTATAGTTTGAAGCCCTTGTTTCACATCCTAGTATCCAGGGAAACAGAAAAAAAGCTTGCTCCCTCCTCCCTATGACTTTCCTTCACATATTTATACATGGCCCTCATCATGTCTCCTCTCAGCCTTCTCTTCTTCAGGCTAAATATGCCCAGTCGCTCCTCATAGGGCTTGTTCTCCAGATCAAGGGATCCTTGATCCTTCTCTGGACATATCCCAGCTTGTCAACATATCCCTTCAATTGTGGTGCCCAGAATTGGACACAATGTGATTCCAGGTGTGGTCTGACCAAGGCAGAATAGAGGGGTAGCATGACTTCCCTGGATGTAGACACTAGACTCCTACTGATGCAGGCCAAAATCCCATTGGCTTGTTTAGCCGTCACATGATATTGTTGGCTCATGTTTAACTTGTTGTCCATTTTCCTGTGAACATTAAAATTTTATGCCATAATATGTTTTCAAAAAACAATCAGTATTTTTTAGTTCTAAAATATTCTCTTGCCTATGATTTAAGGACCTGTTTTGTAGACCAAACAAAAACAAACATGCACAAAATAGCTCAGATATGTTTACTACCACATTTCCCTGGCTTGTACTGGCCTTTCTGCATATTCAGAATATATGCATATTCCACAACAGGATGTTTATCGGAGGTAGGAAACATGCATTCCATCAGAATTCTGCAAGTAATTGTCATTGGAAAGTCCAGAGTGTGAATGACATCACTAACACAGCATCAACAGGAAGAAGAGGAAGTGCTTCGTGTTTGGCAGGATTGAACGTGACATGGAAAATAATAATTAAAAAAAACCCATTAGTGGGAATTGTGGATGTTGTACATCCTTTTTCAATACTGTAATAACTTTTTCTTCAATAACCTTTAGGTGTCATTATTCAGATTACTAACTGTGGCACTGAATTATTCAGGCAGTCATAAATTTCCCCTATTTGCTACTCTCTCGGCTGCATGGAAAGCATCCAAATGTTTTTCACAATCACGTGCCCTAAAGGAAAACCTAGCCTTGATTCATATAAGCCCATGCCAAAGGCAGGGCTCAACTGACCACTATTCAGGAAGCCAACTTCGGGGTGGGGGGGGGGCAGATTACCTTGAGCACCTGGGAGGAATAAACAGAAGAAACTCTCAAAGGTCAATTAGTAAAACTATTTTCTGAAGCTGCTAAGATATAGGGAAAAAACTTCTCGTCAATGTCACATAATAACGTAAGTTGGCCATCAATCACTATTCCTCTTGGCAGAGGGTTATCAACCACTTATTGATGAGTAGGCCAAATCTGGAACTTCTGGAAAATCTGAAAAATATGGTGCTGAATTGGATAGGTCCTTGGTCTGATCTAGCAGTGGTTTTATTAGGACCTTCATTTGATTCTATTCATGCAATAGCTTCTCTATGGCTGCAACAAGAAGGACAGCATGGCCTCAGACACAACCAGGTGCTTCAAAAACTACAAGATATTCTTAGAACTGGGGAGCTGTGTGGTTTCCGGGCTGTATGGCCATGTTTGAGCAGCATTTTCTCCTGGGTTGTTTCAGCTGTATTTGTGGCTAGCATCTTCAGAGGATCCATCTGAAGATGCCAGCCACAGATGCAAGCGAAACATCAGGACAAAATGCTGCTCGAACACAGCCATACAGCCCAGAAACCTCACAACTATCATATTCAATACTGGGTTTTAACTTTACTTTTGACAGCATTTCTTAAGACCTAAATGTATGTCATGTTTCTATTCTGACATTTGTTCATTTTTGGTGTTGGTCATCAATCATAATAACTGTAAATACTAATTAACAGCCATACAGCCCAGAAACCACACAATACCCTAGTGATTCCAGCCGTGAAAGCCTTCGGCAATACACTGAACATATTCCTAGAAATTTTGCCGGAATCTAACATACACCAATATATACATTGACTCATACCTTGTTCCCGTCTCCAAATAAAGTAAGTCCATTGGATTCCCATGAAACCTGTTAAGCATCAGGGAAATCAATGCAGCTTGTACCACATCAAAATGCAACTTACAGAAAGTTACACAACCTTCCATCTGCTAGGTAAACAACCACAATGGCTGACACATAGTACACATGCAGCAACTGCCTATGTTGGCTGCACACCAGTTTTCTTCAGCATATTGTGGATAACAGTGGTTCACCCCAGTTTTTTAAAGGTTTGCAAAAGCATCACTAAATAAAAAGAGCTCTTCCACTGCAGAGACAGCTGCCAAGAGGAGTAATGTAAACTATCTTTCATGTGGCCACTGTTTTGCATGTAGTAGCTCTGATTTCAACATTATGATGCTCAAGTGGAGGTCGCCGGAGTGGAAAATCTTCCATGTAGGAAGGATAATATGAGCAAATTGCTTACACATGGATCAGATGGATGATGCAGACAGACCATTAACAGGAGCTGCCAGAAATTTGTTCCAACAACAAACACTTCCACATAATCAGTACTGAGTATCCACTGCATGATACTGTACTGTTAAATGGCTCTTAGTATAGAGATTTCACACATTAAAGTAGGAAAAGTGTTATTTTGAGTACTAGAAATAGCTTCAATGGTATTACATCCATGAGAGACCAGATACTCCCATATCTAACTTGACCTACAATGGAGACCTATATGAAATGAATGGGTTAAAGTTCAGCAGTGTATGACAAGGATGGGAAAGATTGATCTGCTAGGCCAGTGGTTCTCAACCTGTGGGTCTCCAGATGTTTTGGCCTTCAACTCCCAGGGCCCTTCCATACAGCTTTATATATATCCCAGAATATCAAGGCAGAAAATCCCACATTATCTGAGTACAGACTCAGATACCCCAGTTCAAAACAGATATTGTGGGATTTTCTGTCATGATATTCTGGGATACAGGGCTGTGTAGATGGGCCCCCAGAAATCCTAACAGCTGTTAAACTGGCTGGGATTTCTGGGAGCTGTAGGCCAAACACCTGGGGACCTACAGGATGAGAACCACTGTACTAGGCGTTGCTGAATTTAGGAAGGAGACTTATTTTAATATGAATTTTCTCTATGACAGAGACAAGGAACCAGAATCTATTTACTTTTACTATAGGCAGGCATTTTTGAGTTATGTTTGGGAGCTTTACCTTTTAGAATGGCTAAAGACAGTGTGTATTCATGGTATTACAGTGATAGTATAAGAATCTATTTTACTCATATTAACAGAATCGCGGATATAAACATGTAGGAAACAATATTGGCTGTAAGTTTTAATTAACTAAATGCAAACTTTCAGATATATGACTACAGTGCAATCCTGGGGCCCTTCCAGACAGGCCCTTTATCCCAGGATCTGATCCCAGGTTTTCTGTTTATCCCAGATTATTTGGCAGTGCAGAAAACCTGGGATCAGATCCTGGGATATAGAGCCTGTCTAGAAGGCCCCTGAAGACACTTATTGGAAAGTTAGTCCCATCAAATTCAACAAGGTTGAGTCAAATGGGAGTTATTCCCTGGATTTCTCTCTTCTAACCTCTTTCCTAGATGTAAACCATTGGATTTAATATGATTTACTTCTAAGCAAATATAATCAACATTGCACTTTAAAGCATTTTTCAGAGGAGTGTCTACATTAGACTTTTGAAGCAAAGTAACAAGAAATTTATGGGGCATCTTAAGAATCAATAAATACATTAAGGCACAAGATTTGGAGGACTACCGTCCAGTTAATCAGGAATATGACATGATGTGTCATGCCATATTACAAGCACATTTGTTGGGAGCCACGGTGGTGCAATGGGTTAAATCCTTGTGCCGGCTGAACAGTCAAACTGAAGGTTGGTGGTTCGAATCTGCGAGATGGGGTGAGCTCCCATCTGTCAGTCCCAGCTTCCCATGCGGGGAAATGAGAGAAACCTCCCACAGGATGGTAACATATCCAGGCGCCCCTTGGGCAACATCTCTGCAGACTGCCAATTCTCTCACACCAGAAGTGACTTGCAGTTATCTCAAGTCACTTCTGACACACACACACACACAAAAGCACATTTGGTTGGTAGGTTGAGTGGGAAGTAACTGTAAAAAAAGTTTCTGTATTTCTTTTTTTTTGCAACAATGTATTTCATTATTGTTGATCTCATGTCATCCCATGAGAAAATACTTGTGAATTAGTTCTCAAAGTAGCTGTGCTGTCGCACATATTAACAGTAGCCATGTTAATTTCTTGCAGCATAAGAAGTCTAATATACATTAATATATCTCTTTATTTACTTGTTATAGTGGACTTAAACCCATGAATGTTTAAGTTATAACAAATGGATTCTTCTTTGAAGTTACTCTTCAGCATGTGGGACACAGGCACATCTATTCTGTTCAAGCAGCTGTCCTACGTTCACAGATTTTCAGTTGGTAACAATGGTAAACTAGGCAGAAAGCCAAAGGCATCAGTGGCGTTTTTTTTAGCATTCAAATAAAATCACCCTCTAGGAAATAAAAAAAAAAAACATTTCCACATATTACTATCTTGCTACAGTTCTTTACTTGCATGGTTTTACTAAAGGTAATGGTGTTGTGACAAAAATAAGAAATTCAGCCATTGTTTGAAGTCATATGGGAACAGATTTTAAAACTACCTGAGAAAAATACCACCCGTACAAAGGAAGCCATTTTAGCCCATCTTTCAAAACGTATCGAACATGTCCAAGAGCATTTTGTCTGATGGCCAACATGTCTGCTACAATCCAGTCAACTGCAAAGTCAACAGAAGAAATATGAAAAGTCAATATTGTTATGTTTCATATCTTTTTTCAAGATTTTTTTCTAATGATAAAATCACACACTGACAATGAAGCTCTTTGAAATGCAGGAGAAGCTGCTTCCTTTTTCAGTATTTTAATGTCATCTTCTCCTTAATTTTTCAGCTTTCAAGTTTTATATGTTCTACAATATTGAACACCCTTTATCTTACTGCCACACATAATATATCCATACTTTTGAGGATAAGACTTGGACATCCAATACATATGGAAACCACTGAGGAAGTCTGAACTGAGCTAAAATTGATGTTGGTCCACAATCAATGTGAAGTCACAGATATTAAAGTCTTATTGTTAACCACACCCAACCCTTTAATTACAGAACTCAGGCCTTGATTGAGATATATTTTCTGTGCAAGGAAGTTTATTATGTCTACAAGGCAGATGCTCTATATATTACACATTTCAGACATTACAATGTTTGGACTGTAATCTATGACGGTTTTGCCAAGTAGGAAGTGCTTCTAACTTCAAAGTTAGCGTCCAAAAGCTCCTGGAGATTAGAAGCATCTTGTCGGGAAACAAAGCAAAGAAAAGCACCACTCCTTATATGTAAGCAAACTGCATACAAACCTGTACACTGGTGGTTTGATATATATATCACATTCTCTTTAGTTTTTGGCAAATCACCATATATAAATATCTAGAAGAGAAAAAAGATATGCAGTTAGCTGAATGATATAAATGTTTTATATAAACTCTAACACTTATCCAAGGGGAAAAAATAACAAGTGTTATTTTAACAGACTAATTAGAGATGGAAAGCAGGAAGATAAATTACTCTCTAATCATTCCAGTGACACTGTACTGGTCAGTATAATTATCTATTAACACAAGATCAATTTGAACCTAAATAGCTAAAGGAATGCACAGTTTAAATGATTTTGGTTGCTCTGAGTTTTCCGGGCTCTCCTGACGTTTCAGCCACTTCTATGGCAGGCATCCTCAGAGGTTGAGGGTTCTTTTGGAAACTAGGCAAGTAGGGTTTATATATATGTGGAATGTCCAAGGTGAGAGAAAGAACTCTTTGTCTGCTTGAGGCAAGTGTGAATGTTGCAATTAATCACCTTGATTAGGATTGCAAAGCCTTGCAGCTTCAAGGTCTTGTTGATTCCTGCCTGAGGGAATCCTTTATTGGGAGATGTTAGCTGGCCCTGATTGTTTCATGTCTGGAATTTTCCTGTTTTCTGAGTGTTGTTCTTTATTTGCCATTCTGATTTTAGAGGGTCTTTTTAAATACTGGTAGCTAGATTATGTTTATTTTCATGGCTTCCTCCTTTCTGTTGAAATTGTCCACATGCTTGTGGATTTCAATGATGTCCCTGTGTTGTCTGCTATAGATGTGGGCAAAACATCAGAAGAGAATGCTTCTGGAATATGGCCATATCTAGTGATTCTGGACATGAAAGCTTTCAATAACACATTTAAATGATTTGTTTATTCGATAAAAATAAACCCTTCCATTATAGGAAATTAGGGTGAAAAAAACCACACCCTAATTGCAATAGTATGGCATATCCGTAGTAATGTTATATGCAAAAACATGATATAGTCCTTTCTGTTACGTATGCGCATATCCACACTTTCACCTCAAAAAAGTGGGCAAAATTTAGGTAAACAGATATGTATAAGCTTTAAAGTTAGCTTGTAGACACCGGCTTGTCACTGGAGCAACAACAACAATAATAAAAATGCTTTATTTGTATTCAGCCACCATCTCCCTGAAGGGTCTCGCAGCGGCTCACAGAAAGCGCTCAATAGTGCAACAATATACAAATACAACAAAATACAAAAAGATAAAAGTAACAGTAAAATCACCCAACAATTTTACTTAAACAACAAATTTTTTTTCATGTCAGGAGCGACTTGAGAAACTGCAAGTCACTTCTGGTGTGAGAGAATTGGTCGTCTGCAAGGACGATGCCCAGGGGATGCCTGGATGTTTTGATGTTTTACCATCCTTGTGGGAGGCTTCTCTCATGGGGAGCTGGCGCTGACAGAGGGAGCTCAACCATGCTCTCCCCAAATTTGAACTCCTGACCTGTCGGTCTTCAGTCCTGCTAGCACAAGGTTTTAACCCATTGCGCCACTGGGGGCTCCTTTAAACAAAAAATAAAAGCCCAATTAATTAAAAAGATATTATAATCATTAGCTCTATTGTGTAGTATGTCTGACCCAATCAGACTTTTACAGCTACACTCATCTTTTTAAAATCACACAGGACCTGCATTACACATCAACAAAGCAGTTTTTTTAAACTATGTACATGTGTGCTTGCCGTATTGGTTTATACCCGATCACACCTAAATGACCACCTGGTTCAGGTAACCACCACCAACCTTCCACTCTACCATTATTCCCCCTTGATTCCATTATGGTCCCAATAAGGGAGTCAAGCTGCACATTTTAAAAACCTGGTTCTTTTCCCAAATGGCAGAGGAAACTGTAGGGTTTTTAAAGCCTTAAAGCCCTCAAGCCGCAAGTGGGAGTGTTTTCACCTTGGAGGGAGAGGAACACTGAGTGCTCCAACAGAGCTAACATCAAGGTTATTATTTCGCTTGGAGGGTTCAGCCAGGGCAATGTAATGTGTTGTTTTTCCACCCAGATAAGTGTCTTGCCACTTTAGCAGTTCAATCTTTTAGGAGGCATCCTGCAAAAGTGACTGGGCAGAGTGTACCGGCATCATATTTACTGTCCATTAAGCTGAAACAGCTTAGTGTTTTGTGTGAACACAGCTCTGGAATTACACTGATAAATCTGGGAGAATCGAACAGGCCTTAAGTAAAGACTGTGCTTCCAACTGTGAAATCCCTTTGTGTAAACGAAAAACCCTTTTCAGTTTTTGTTGCTAATCATGTTGTGGGAGTAGCCCACACAGGAGACTGAAGTTGGGTGTTTAAAGATAACTATATTGTCCAGATATGTAAAAGATTTGTTCCATTTTGAACATGATTTACATAGGTGCACTGACTGCTAAACAGCTGTTGCAGGCCTTTTGTGTTGTCACTCTGAGTGGAAAAGTTTGTGAATGCCAAAGAAGGGGAAAAAACTGGAGGGCGTTAGGCTTAAATTCATGAATGAAGGGAAAGGGATGAAAGCACTTGGAAGTACATAACTGATCAGGACAACAGGATGCAGAGGCCTTTGACCTCTAGATCACCAGTTTCATTCAAGCCTAGTCAATGGAGGGACCATCTGACATCCGTTTGGTGCCTCATTGAACAGAGGCTGAAACATCTGTCCATTGGCAGCCACACTAAAATGAGCAGCTGATTCTAACTACATTTTCCTAAATACATTTGCTCATCTGCAAATCTTATTTATGTTGACTGACCCTCTAAATTGGTATGTTTAAAAACTACAAATGTTTAGCATCTGCTATTATCCAATTTATCAAGGGTGGGAGGGCTGAATATAAATATATATAACGTATATACTTGGGTATAAGCCAACCCAAATATAAGCCAAGGCATCTAATTTTATCAGAAAAAAAAACTGGAAAAACGTGTTGACTCGAGTATAAGGTGAGGGTGGGAAATGCAGCAGCTACTGGTAGATTTCAAAATAAAAATAGATACCAATAAAATTACATTAATTGAGGCATCAGTAGGTTACATGTTTTTGAATATTTACATAAAACTGTAATTTAAGATAAGACTGTCCAACTCTGATTAAATCATTATTCTAATCTTCTTCAATGTAAATGTGCTTACATATCCTTCCAATAATAATATAGAGAGTAAAATAATGTAATAAAAATAATAATAGCGTAAATAATGGAAATGTAATAATCACGGTAATAGAGTAAAATAATGTAGATGCAATAATAATGAATAGAGTACAATAATAAATGAAATAATAATAACAACAGAGTAAGATATTAAATAATTTTGATTTGCGTATAAGCTGTGAGGGGCTTTTTCAGCCTTAAAAAGGGCTGAAAAACTTGGCTTATACTCAAGTATATACGTTACTTCCAAGATTTAAACCTGGTGTATATATATGATATTTAGACCCATTCTATTATTGTATATGCTCGCGAATGAGTTGGCCACATGCAGAAGTCAAAGGAGGTTTAGGGACCAGAATTATGGACTTTGATATGATCAGTGGGTAAGTCTAGGGTCATTCTGTAAAGAGGGGAAAATATCTCAGAAAGCAAACTGCCTTTGGGTGCCACTGCCATTTCCTCACGCTTGCATTTAAAAAGGCCAAATGCAATGCCATGGTGAAGAGAGTAGAGGGGATCAGCCCTTTTATGTTCTCTCAGGATGACCTAGTGAGAAGCCGCAGTGCCCCAATGGGTTATACCCTTGTGATGGATGAACTGCTGACCCGATGGCTAGCGGTTCAAATCAGCTCCAGCTTCCCATGTGGGGACATGAAAGAAACCTCCCACAAGATGGCAACACATCCGGGTGTCCCCTGGGCAACATCCCTGCAGATGGCTAATTCTCTCATACCAGAAGCGACCTGCAGTTTCTCAAGTCACTTCTGACTTGAGTTTAAAAAAAGAATGGTCTACCACTCACCTTTCAGCATTTTACTCAGAAATGGTTCCCTTTTCGATAAAAGTTAAGCTACAGTGCTCACATTGACCCATGGAGAAGTCAACTCATGTAATTACTGATTTATTTGTGATACTTTAAACGTTAATTAGTTTATTATGCTGTATTGATAGCACAAATTATGAGTATAGCAAAGAGATTGAAATGTGTGTGTGTGTGTAATGTTGTCATATGATCCTTGATGCATAAGAATTAGAATTATGTCAATTACAGATTTTTAAACTTAAAATCTTTGCAGTGTAATATAAAAATGCAGAATTTTCAGTCTTTTAACATTTATACTAACCACAACGGTGTTTGTGTCAGGATATGATGTGGTGGCCTTGAGGTGCCAAGTTTTAGAAGTTACTTTTAACAGTCAATTTGAGATACATCTAACAACAGTCACACAAAGTTCTTTGTTCAAAGGTTGATTGCAGACAGAAACTCATTGTTTGCCACTTACTGGGAGACTCTAAAATCTCTTTATAATGTAGGCTTACATTCAATTGTTAGTTCCAACTGAAATAAGCCCACCTGTAATGTAAAACTAATTCAGTGTATATACTCTAGCAACTTGATTTATGTCATTATGTGAGGCATTGACCGTAGCCTAATCTCTTAGACAAGCCAACAGCACAAAGAAACATGTTAAAAAGTTGAAAATAAAGGATAACGTTTACAGATAGTAGAGGCATGCAGGCCTATCTGGACAGATAGCTTTGAATGTTTGAGCAATGCACGACGAAGTAGTGATTCATGCTGGCAATGCAACGCCTTTTAACTCCAGGCTAAATACTTCAGTCATTCCTGAAAATGGGGAAAAGGACTGAAGAGAAAGGGAACTTTGCCACCTCGTCCTTGACTCTGGGACTCCTTCACCACAACTGCATAAATTGCCACTTTTTAGGATGAAAGGCCAGTAGCAGGCCCTAGCAGGTTCTCCAGCTGGATTGCGTTAGCTGGGGGATATAAATGGGAGGGATTATATCAATGGGGTCTCTATGGGAGAGATCCTGTCACGCTGGGAGATGACATCCAAGAGGGATTGCCCCTTTGAGAGTGGCAGGGAGGCAAGGGCTTGTCATCCTGCTGC